ACAATGCCGCTATTAATAAGAACTGAAATTAATGCATGCAATGTCTTAACGTCATCCCTAGACAGGCTATGAATTTTCATCCCAACTCTCATATTTGGAAAGAAACAATGCCGCTATTAATAAGAGCTGAAATTAATGCATGCAATATCTTAACGTCATCCCTAGACAGGCTATGAATTTTCATCCCACCTCTCATATTTGGAAAGAAACAATGCCCTATTAATAAGAGCTGAAATTAATGCATGCAATATCTTAACGTCATCCCTAGACAGGCTATGAATTTTCATCCCAACTCTCATATTTGGAAAGAAACAATGCCCTATTAATAAGAGCTGAAATTAATGCATGCGATATCTTAACGTCATCCCTAGACAGGCTATGAATTTTCATCCCACCTCTCATATTTGGAAAGAAACAATGCCTCTATTAATAAGAGCTGAAATTAATGCATGCAATATCTTAACGTAATCCCTAGACAGGCTATGAATTTTCATCCCACCTCTCATATTTGGAAAGAAACAATGCCCCTATTAATAAGAGCTGAAATTAATGCATGCGATATCTTAACGTCATCCCTAGACAGGCTATGAATTTTCATCCCACCTCTCATATTTGGAAAGAAACAATGCCTCTATTAATAAGAGCTGAAATTAATGCATGCAATATCTTAACGTAATCCCTAGACAGGCTATGAATTTTCATCCCACCTCTCATATTTGGAAAGAAACAATGCCGCTATTAATAAGAACTGAAATTAATGCGTGCAATGTCTTAACGTCATCCCTAGACAGGCTATGAATTTTCATCCCAACTCTCATATTTGGAAAGAAACAATGCCGCTATTAATAAGAGCTGAAATTAATGCATGCAATATCTTAACGTCATCCCTAGACAGGCTATGAATTTTCATCCCACCTCTCATATTTGGAAAGAAACAATGCCGCTATTAATAGGAGCTGAAATTAATGCATGCAATATCTTAACGTCATCCCTAGACAGGCTATGAATTTTCATCCCAACTCTCATATTTGGAAAGAAACAATGCCCCTATTAATAAGAGCTGAAATTAATGCATGCAATATCTTAACGTTATCCCTAGACAGGCTATGAATTTTCATCCCACCTCTCATATTTGGAAAGAAACAATGCCGCTATTAATAAGAGCTGGAATTAATGCATGCAATATCTTAACATCATCCCGAGACAGCCTATGAATTTTCATCTCACCTCTCATACCTAGAAAGAAACAATGCAGCTATTAATAAGAGCTGAAATTAATGTATGCAATATCTTAACGTCATCCTTAGACAGCCTATGAATTTTCATCCCACCTCTCATATTTGGAAAGAAACAATGCCGCTATAAATAAGAGCTGGAATTAATGCATACAATATCTTAACGTCATCCCTAGACAGGCTATGAATTTTCATCCCAAATCTCATATTTGGAAAGAAACAATGCCGCTATTAATAAGAGCTGAAATTAATGCATGCAATATCATAACGTCATCCCTAGACAGGCTATGAATTTTCATCCCACCTCTCATATTTGGAAAGAAACAATGCCCCTATTAATAAGAGCTGAAATTAATGCATACAATATCTTAACGTCATCTCTAGACAGGCTATGAATTTTCATCCCACCTCTCATATTTGGAAAGAAACAATGCCCCTATTAATAAGAGCTGAAATTAATGCATGCAATATCATAACGTCATCCCTAGATAGGCTATGAATTTTCATCCCACCTCTCATATTTGGAAAGAAACAATGCCGCTATTAATAAGAGCTGAAATTAATGCATGGAATATTTCGCAGCTCAAGAAACAATCTTTCATAGTCAGCCTATGAACATTTCAGCCCTTCTTCGTATCTGGAAAGAAGCGATATAGTTATTAATAAGAAGAGCCGGAACGAATGTATGCAACATGTCACAGTTCTTGGGTCATTCCTTTATAGTCAGTTCATGAAAATTTCAGCAATTTCAGCATACCTGTAAAAATAACGATTCAGTTATAAAATAAGAAATGTTGAACTGAATGCATGCAAGATTTCACAACTCTAGCATCAACGCTTGTTAGTCTGCATATAAACATTTCAGCCCACCCTCGTACCTGGAAAAAAACAATTCAATTATTATCTGTCTATATTTCTGAGACGAGGTATTATGTACACTCTTTATATTATTCGGACTATCGTCTTCATCTTTGTTGCCATATTTATTACAATGTTTCGAAATTGCTTTCGATTTCACTGTCTCGTTTTTCTTGCCTTGGGGTGACACTTTCGCCTTCATTAATCCCAGGCTCATTAAACCTTTCTTTATTGCTTATCCTGTCGCACTCTAACTTAGTGCGCATGCGCTAATATCCAATTTCCATTTTTCTTCTATTATCATAGGGTTCTGTCCAGTTTACCTTATTGTAGATAAGATTCTCCATTCTTTTTGTACCACGGTTTTTCGTTGGTGACACAAGACACGGTCAACGGGGATCTAATTTGTCTACACTATATTTCTGAGATGAGGTATTATGTACATTATTTACATTATTTGGACTATTGTTCTCATTTTGTCGCCATATTTATTACAACGTTTCGGCCTTTCAGTATCTGTCTATATTTCTGAGATGAGGTATTATGTACACTATTTACATTATTTGGACTATTGTCCTCATTTTGTCGCCATATTTATTACAACGTTTCGGCCTTTCAGTATCTCTCTATATTTCTGAGATGAGGTATTATGTACACTATTTACATTATTCGGACTATTGTCCTCATCTTTGTTGCCATATTTATTACAACGTTTCGGCCTTTCAGTATCTGTCTATATTTCTGAGATGAGGTATTATGTACATTATTTACATTATTCGGACTATTGTACTCATCTTTGTTGCCATATTTATTACAACGTTTTGGCCTTTCAGTATCTGTCTATATTTCTGAGATGAGGTATTATGTACACTATTTACATTATTCGGACTAGTGTCCTCATCTTTGTCGCCATATTTATTACAACGTTTCGGCCTTTCAGTATCTGTCTATATTTATGAGATGAGGTGTTATGTACACTATTTACATTATTCGGACTAGTGTCCTCATCTTTTTCGCCATATTTATTACAACGTTTCGGCCTTTCAGTATCTGTCTATATTTATGAGATGAGGTATTATGTACACTATTTACATTATTCGGACTAGTGTCCTCATCTTTGTCGCCATATTTATTACAACGTTTCGGCCGTTGTACGCTCCGGCCTTCTTCAGGTGTTTGGAATGTCGAACTTAACCCTTTATTTCGCTCGCTGGGGTAGACTGTTCTAGTTCCACGTGCCATGTGTAATGGATGCCAGTTGTTAGTTAACCCCTGTTATTTCCCCTCCCCAAGTTCTCCACTGCATTAAACGGGTATTGAACTCACACTCTTTGGTTCCTGTCACTAGATCTAACTAACGCCTTTATCCACTGTGCCAATTATTGATGAGAAGTATTGAAATCAATGCGTGCAAGATTTCACAGCTCAAGCATCAATCTTTTATAATCAGCCTATGAAGATTTCAGCCCTACATTTTGCATTTTCTATATATTTTCATTTTCTCTGTTCTGTTAAAAAAAAAAAAAAAAAAAACTTTCGACGCAGTAAAAGTGGGGGAAGCCCAGAAGAGAGCAGCAACAGCCAGGTAAGGTTTGCAAAAAGAATCCTCCTCTTGTGACCCGCTCCAATTAGGTCTAGTAACAGAGAAGAAAAAAAAAACGTAATAATCCTTCAGCATGACAAGTAACCAGTTACACGTCGGCAGATAGAGAAGATAGATTGCCTGAGAGTACGGAGGGCGATTTTTATAAAGAGGCTAACCGCTTCTCACAATCCTCCACCTTATCAAATATCAGTTGGTCACTTGCTTCCAGTTTAGCTGGACACAATTCCCCCGAGGCTGAAGCAACACGTCCGTAAGTACCAACCTCTCTCTTCCTCTTTCCTTTTCTACACAGTTCGTAAATACTAAATTTTATTTAATTTCATAAACGCGATCGTTGAGTTTTATATCCTTCTTAAATATTCTGTTTTTTTCCTTTTACGTGGAAAAGAAAAAATATATATATATATATATATATATATATATATATATATATATATATATATATATATATATATTAATTAAAGTATTACACGTATTATTTTTTCGCCTAGAGGATCTAAATTGATTAACTATTTGAATTGGTTAATTTTAACGCCCCCAAAAAGAGAACTGCACTCTTTTAAGCGTCTGAAAGAACTCTTTCTGCCTTTCTGCCTTGGTCCTAGCTTCCAGGAAACGGATTCGTTACGCCTCCTCGAGTTGACGTTTTCCCGCTGACATGAAGTAGAAAGATTATGTTGAATCAATTGCTCGGTCTACTTGCAGGGGAAATACGCTCATAGTGCCGGTGCTAGTCAATTTTCCCGCCCGATCTTGTATATGCTCTGCTGCTCCGGCTATGAAGAGGAGGGCGTACGTTCGTTCCTTCGAATGTGAGTCATCGACGCAGAAGAGGCAGCAGCAGCGGAAAAGGACGCGCCACCGTCGCATAGACGGTCAGTTCAGCCACTGAACTCCTACCATTCTGCCGCGGACGCCTGGCTAGCCGAACAACGCTGCTTCCTCTGACGGATTTTGGCCATGCGATACGAACGCAGTCGCACGTCTGTCTTCCTCGACGTACGGCCAGCTTTCCATTTTCGTATGCCTCCTACTGTCATATAGGAAGAAAATGAGTAACTACCGACATCGAAGTTCGAGCGTGAAACTCTGGAATTGTAAATATATGTTTCCCGCCAAGTGCATAAATGGCGGTGTCAGGCTACTGACTGAAGTGATTATTGAGTGGAACTATCCAGTCGAATTAGTGTGAATTATTGTCTGTCGATGATTTGGGTTTGATTTAGGATTTACCGGAGGTAAGGGTTAAAGAGTATATCAAAAGAGGCGGAAATGGATACCGGGAGAGGCGGAATAGGATATCAGGAGAAGCGGAATAGGATTTCAGGAAAGGCGGAAAGGGATTTCAGGAGAAGCGGAATAGGATAGCAGGTGAGGCTGAAAAGGATTTTAGGAGAGGTGGAAAAGGAGAGCAGAAGAGGCGGAAGAGGATAGCAGGAGTGACGGAAGAGGATAGCTAGAGAGGCAGAAGAGCATAGCAGAAGTGACGGAACAGGATAGCAGGTGAGGCGGAAAAGGATTTCAGGAGAAGCGGAAGAGGATAGAAAGTGTGACGGAATAGGAGAGCAGGAGAATCGGAAGAATTTCAGGAGAGTCGGAAGAGGATAGCAGAAGAGGCGGAAGAGAGTAGCAGGAGAGTCGGAAGAGGATTTCAGGAGAGGCGGAAGAGGATAGCAGAAGAGGCGGAAGAGGATAGCTGGAGAGTCGGAAGAGGATTTCAGGAGAGTCGGAAAAGGATAGCAGAAGAGGCGGAAGAGGGTAGCAGGAGAGTCGGAAGAGGATTTCAGGAGAGGCGGAAGAGGATAGCAGAAGAGGCGGAAGAGGGTAGTAGGAGAGTCGGAAGAGGATTTCAGGAGAGGCGGAAGAGGATAGCTGAAGAGTCGGAAGAGGATTTCAGGAGAGGCGGAAGAGGATAGCAGAAGAGGCGGAAGAGGATAGCTGGAGAGTCGGAAGAGGATTTACGGAGAGTCGGAAGAGGATAGCAGAAGAGGCGGAAGAGGATAGCTGGAGAGTCTGAAGAGGATTTCAGGAGAGGCGGAAGAGGATAGCAGAAGAGGCGGAAGAGGATAGCTGGAGAGTCGGAAGAGGATTTCAGGAGAGGCGGAAGAGGATAGCAGAAGAGGAACAAGGGAAGAGGAAAGAGGCAAAGAGTTACCTAGAAGAGGAAAAGAGAGGCGGAAGAGGATAGCAGAAGAGGCGGAAGAGGTTTTTTGATGGATGGAGAGTAGAAGGGAAAGGAGAGGAGAGGAAAGAGGACAGCAGAAGAAAAGAGGAAGAGGTAGCAGGAGAACAAGAAAAGAGGAGGAAATGGAAGAGGATAGCAGAAGCCGGAATAGGGTGAGCAGGAAGTCTGAAGTTATTTCAGGGGAGTCGGAAGAGGATAGCAGAAGAGCTGGAAGAGGATAGCTGGATAAAGAGAATTTCAGGAGAGGCGGAAGAGAAATAGCAGAAGAGGAGGAAGAGGGTAGCAGGAGAGAAAAGAAGGAATTTCAGGAGAGGGATAGCAGAAGAGGACAGGAAGAGGAGAGCAGAAGAGGACAAGATGATGAAAGAGGCAAAAGTTACCTAGAACAACAAAAAGAGAGGAAATTGTGGAGAGCCATAATCATAGCAGAATGTAAGCTTTGGAAGATGGATAGCAGAAGAGAACTGGGGGTGATGATAAAGAGGGGAAAGGATAGCTAGAAGAGGAAAAAGAGGAAATTGTGGAGAGCGGATAAGGATTAATGAGGAGAGTGAGGATGGAGGATAGCAGAAGAGGCGGAAGAGGATAGATGAGATGAAGAGGATAGCAGGAAAAGAGGAAGAGGATAGCAGAAAGGCGGAAGAGGATATTGGAGAGGTGGAAAAGGATTTCAGGAGAGGCGGAAGAGGATAGCAGAAGAGGCGGAACAAGGAAAAGGAGAGAGGAAAAAGTTACCTAGAACAAGCGGAAGAGGATAGAAAGAAGAGCCGGAAGAGGGTAGTAATGAGTTTGAAGAGATGGATAGCAGAAGAGGAAGAGGGGTGCAGAAGATAAAGGAAAAAGTTACCTAGAAGAAAGAAGGAGAGGCGGAAGAGGATGGAGAGCCATAACCAGGGTAGCAGGAGAGTATGGATGGATAGCAGAAGAGGCGGAAGGGGATGAGCAGAAGAGGGAAAGGGTAGCAGGAGAACAAGAAAGGAGAGGAGAGTGGAGAGGATAAGGATAGCAGAAGAGGCGGAAGAGGATGCAGGAGAGCAGAAGAGGAACAAGGAGATGCGGAAAGGAGGCAAAAGTTACCTAGAACAAGAAAAGAGAGGAAAGGAAGTGGAGAGCCATAATCATCCATGTAATGAGTTTGTATGGATGGATAGCAGAAGAGGAACAAGGGTGATGATAAAGACCTAGAATAAGAAAAGAGGCAGGGAAGACAAGAGAAGGAGAGGAAAAAGAGGGAGCCAGGATCATCCAAGAGGAATTTGTAGGATGGCGGAAGAGAAGAGGAAGAAGAGGAGGAAGATAGCTGGAGGCAAAAGGATTTCCTAGAACAAAAAGGATAGAGAAATTGTGGAGAGGGTAGCATCTGTAATGAGGCAGGAGAGTATGGATGGATAGCAGAAGAGGAAGAGGGGGGGGATGATAAAGAGGCAAGAGGCGGAAGAGAACAAGAAAAGAGAAGAGGAAGTGGAGAGCCATAATCATCTATGTAGGAGAGTTTGTATGGATGGATAGCAGAAGAGTCGGAAGAGGGGTGATGATAAAGAGGCAAAAGTTACCTAGAAGGAGAAAGGAAATTGTGGACAGCCAGAATCATCTATGTAATGAGCAGAAGATGGATGGATAGCAGAAGTTTGGAAGAGGATGATAAAGAGGCAAAAGTTACCTAGAATAGAAGGAGAAAGGAAGAGGATATCAGAGAAGAGGAACGAAAAGGTTTGGAAATTGTGGGATAACCATCTAAAGAGGCGGAAGATGGATAGCAGAAGACCTTAAAGAGGATGATAAAGAGGCAAAAGTTACCTAGAACAAGAAAAGAGAGGAAATTGTGGAGAGCCATAATCATCTACGTAATGAGCTTGTATTGATGGATAGCAGAAGAGGAACAAGGGGTGATGATAAAGAGGCAAAAGTTACCTAGAATAAGAAAAGAGAGGAAATTGTGGAGAGCCATAATCATCTACGTAATGAGCTTGTATGGATGGATAGCAGAAGAGGAACAAGGGGTGATGATAAAGAGGCAAAAGTTACCTAGAACAAGAAAAGAGAGGAAATTGTGGAGAGCCATAATCATCCATGTAATGAGCTTGTATGGATGGATAGCAGAAGAGGAACAAGGGGTGATGATAAAGAGGCAAAAGTTACCTAGAACAAGAAAAGAGAGGAAATTGTGGAGAGCCATAATATCCAGGTAATGAAATGAGTTTGAAGATGAAGAGGATTGAGGAGAAAAGAAGAGGATAGACAAAAGGGGAGCATAAAGAGGCAAAAGTTACCTAGAAGAAGAAAAAAGAGGGAAATTGGAGAGAGCCATAATCATCCATGTAATGAGCTTGATGGATGGATAGCAGAAGAGGAAAGGGTGATGATAAAGAGGCAAAAGTTACCTAGAATAAGAAAAGAGAGAAATTGTGGAAGCCATAACCAGAATGAGCTTGATGGATGGATAGCAGAAGAGGAAGAAGAGGATTGATGATAAAGAGGCAAAAGTTAGAGAACAAGAAAAAGAGAGGAAATTGTAGGAGAGCCATAATATCCATCCATGTAATGAGCTTGGATGGATGGATAGCAGAAGAGGAACAAGGGGTGATGATAAAGAGGCAAAAGTTACTTAGAACAAGAAAAGAGCAGAAATTGTGGAGATTAATCATCCATGTAATGAGCTTGGAAGATGGATGGCAGGAGAGCAGAAGAAGAACAAGGGTGATGATAAAGAGGCAGGAAAGTGGAAGAACAAGAAAAAGAGGAAAATAAGGAGAGTGGAAATCATCCAGAGATGAGCTTGTGGAGAGTGGACAGAGGGCAGCAGAAGATGGAGAGGATAGCAGAGAGGGAAGAGGAACAAGGTGATGATAAAGAGGCAAAAGACCTAGAACAAAAAAGAGAGGAAATTGTGGAAGCCATAATCATCCATGTAATGAGCTTGTATTGGATGGATAGCAGAAGAGGAGGGAAGAGGATAGCAGAAAGTTACCTAGAAGAAAAAAAAGAGAGGAAATTTGTGGAGCCATAATCATCTATGAATGAAGCTTGTATGGATGGATAGCAGAAGAGGAACAAGGGGTGATGATAAAGAGGCAAAAGTTACCTAGAACAAGAAAAGAGAGGAAATTGTGGAGAGCCATAATCATCCATGTAATGAGCTTGTATGGATGGATAGCAGAAGAGGAACAAGGGGTGATGATAAAGAGGCAAAAGTTACCTAGAACAAGAGAGGAAGAGGGATGGATAGCAGAAAATTGTAGGGAGAGGTGAAGATGGATAGCAGAAGAGGTATTGACAAGGGATAGAGAAGGAAGAGGATTGATAAAGAGCAAAAGGAAGAGGATAAAAGAGAAGAGGTGGAAGAGGAAAACCAGGAGAGAGAGGAAGAGGCTTGTATGAATGATGGGAAGAGGAAGAGGAAGAGGCGGAAAAGGGCAAAAGTTACCTAGAAGAAGAAAAGAGAGGAAATTGTGGAAGAGGATATAATCATCTATGGAATGAGCTTGTATGGATGGATAGCAGAAGAGAACAAGGGTGATGATAAAGAGGCGGAAGAGGTTAGCAGGAGAACGGAAAAGAGAGGAAATTGTGGAAGAGGATAAGAAGAGGTGGAAATGAGCTTGTATGGATGGATAGCAGAAGAGGAACAAAGAGGATAGAGAAGAGGATAAGCAAAAGTTAGGATAGAACAAGAAAAGAAGAGGAATAGCAGGAGAGCCATAATCAGGGATGTAATGAGCTTGGAAGAGGATAGCAGAAGAGGAACAAGGGAAGAGGATAGCAAGAGAAGAGGAAAGAAGGAGGAGAGGAAGAAAGGATGGATAGCAGAAGAAAGGGGTGATGATAAAGAGGCGGAAGAGGAGAAGTGGGAAGAGGAAATTGTGGAGAGCGGATAATCATCTAGCAGAAGAGGAGGAAGAGGATGATGGGAGCAGAAGAGGAACAAGGGGTGATGATAAAGAGGCAAAAGTTACCTAGAATAAGAAAAGAGAGGAAATTGTGGAGAGCCATAATCATCTACGTAATGAGCTTGTATGGATGGATAGCAGAAGAGGGGAAGAGGGTGATGATAAAGAGGCAAAAGAGGATAGAACAAGAAAAGAGAGGAAATTGTGGGAGAGTGGAAGAGGATAATGTAATGAGCTTGTAAGATGGATAGCAGAAGAGGAAGAGGATAGCAGGTGATGATAAAAGAGGCAAAAGTTAGCAGAACAAGATGGAAGAGGAAAGCAGGAGAGCCATAATCAAGAGGAATGAGCTTGGATGGATGGATAGCAGAAGAGGAACAGAGAGGGAAGATGATAGCAAGAGGCAAAAAGTTTCTAGAACAAGAAAAGAAGAGGAAAGCAGGAGAGCCATAAGATCCATAATGTAGAGAGCTTGAAGATGGATAGCAGAAGAGAAACAAGGGAAGATGATAAAGCAGGAAAAGCGGAAGAGGAACAAGAAAGGAGAGGAAATAGTGGAGAGGTGGAACCAGGATGTAATGAGCTTGGAATGGATGGATAGCAGAAGAGGAAGAGGGTGATGATAAAGAGGCAAAGGTTAGCAGAACAAGAAAAGAGAGGAAAGCAGGAGAGCCGGAATCAGGATGTAATGAGCTTGTATGGATGGATAGCAGAAGAGGGCGGAAGAGTGATGATAAGAGGCAAAAAGGATAGCAGAACAAGAAAAAGAGGAAAGCAGGAGAGCCATAACCATCCAGTAATGAGCTTGTATGAATGGATAGCAGGAGAGAAGAGGATAGCAGGAGAGGCGGAAGAGGATAAGAAGAGAGAAAGAGGGTAGCCATAAGAGGCATGGAAGAGGATAGATGGAGAGAAGAGGAGGGTAGAGGAGAGATGGGGAGAGGAAAGGAGAGATGAAAGAGGATAGCAGAAGAGGCGGAAGAGGAAAGCAGGAGAGCTGGGAATCAGGATAATGAGCTTGTAGAGGATGGAATAGCAGAAGAGCAGGAGAGATGGAAAAGAGGCAAAAGTTACGGAAGAACAAGAAAAGAGAGAGGAAATAGGGAGAGCCATAACCATCCATGTAATGGGAAGGATAGCAGGATGGATAGCAGAAGAGTGGGAAGGGGGTGATGATAAAGAGGCAAAAGTTAGGAGAACAAGAAAAGTGGAAGGAAATAGTGGAGAGGTGGAATCAGGATATGTAATGAGCTTGAAGAGGATAGCAGGAGAGGAAGAAGGGGGATATGATAAAGAGGCAAAGTGACTCAGGGAAGAAAGGAGAAGGAGAGGCCATAATCAGAACAAGAGCTTGGAAAGAGGAGCAGGAGAGGTGGAAGAGGATTACCAGGAGAGGCGGAAGAGGATATTGATGGAGGCAGAAGGAAGAGGATGATCAGGAGAGGCGGAAAATGATAGGAGAAGAGGTGGAAGAGGATAGCAGGAGAGGCGAAAAGAGAGAAATTGTGGACAAAGGATAGAGATCGGAAGAGGAGCTTGTATGGAAGGATAGCAGGAGAGGCGGAAGAGGTGATGATAAAGAGGAAAGTTACCTAGAACGGAAGAAAAGAGAGGAGAGTGGAGAGGATAATCAGGAGAGGCGGAAGAGGATAGGATGGAGAGCAGAAGAGGAACAGCAGGAGATGATAAAGAGGCAAAGGAGACCTAGAACAAGGAAAGCAGGAAGAGGTGAGAAGAGGATAGCAGTAAGAGGCGGAAGAGGATGGAGGAGAGGCGGAAAGGGATAAGAGGAAGAGGATAAAGAGGCGGAAAAGTTACCTAGAGAATTGGAAGAGAAATAGCAGGAATTGTGGAAGAGGATAATCATCCATGTAATGAAGCTTGGATAGATGGGAGAGAAGAGGAAGAGGGTGATGATAAAGAGGCGGGAAGAGGATACAGGAGAGGCGGAAGAGGATAGCAGGAAGACGGGAAGAGGAGAGTGGAGAATGCGGATCTATGTAATGAGCTTGGATGGATGGATAGCAGAAGAGGAAGCAGGAGATGTGGAAGAGGATAAAGAGGCGGAAAGTTACCTAGAACAAGAAAAGAGAGAAAGAGGCCAGGATCATCATGGAAGAGATAGTATGGATGGATGGAAGAGGAACAGGGGTGATGGGATAAAGAGGCAAAAGTTACCTAGAACAAGAAAAGAGAGGAAAGGAGAGGATAATCATCCAGGATTTCAGAGCTTGTATGGATGGATAGCAGAAGAGAAATAGTGATGGAAAGAGGAGGAGTTACCTAGAGGCAAGAAAAGAGAGGATAGCAGGAGAGGCGGAAGAGGATAGTAGGAGCTTGTATGGATGGATAGCAGAAGAGGCGGAAGAGGATAAAGAGGCAAGAGTTACCTGGAAGAGGGAAAGCAGGAGATTCGGGAGAGGATTTCAGGAGAGGTGGAAGAGGATAGCAGAAGAGGCGGGTGGAAGAGGATAGCAGGAGAGGATGGAAGAGGATAAAAGGAGATGGAAGAGGAAAGAGAGGAAAGGTGGAAGAGGATAGCAGGAGAGGCGGGAAGAGGAGAAGCAGAAGAGGCGGAAGCAGGATAGCAGAAGAGGCGGAAAAAAGGGCAGGAAATTGGAAGAGGATAATCATCTATGAAAGAGCTTGTATGGATGGATAGCAGAAGAGGGAAAGAGGATGATGAGGAAAGGAGGAAGAGGATACAGAGAGGCGGAAGAGGATAGAGGAGAATTGTGGAGAGGATAATCATCCATGGAAGAGCTTGTATGGATGGATAGCAGAAGAGAAAGGATTTCAGGAGAGGCGGAAGAGGATACCTAGAAGAGGAAAGAAGAGGAAATTGTGGAGAGCCAAAAGGATAGCAGGAGAGCTTGGAAGAGGATAGCAGGAGAGAGGAAGAGGATAGCAGGAGAGAGGCAAAAGAGGATAGCAAGAAGGGCGGAATTGTGATAGCAGAAGAGGCGGAAGAGGATTTCAGGAGAGGCGGAAGAGGATGAGCAGGAGAGGGGGTGGATTCTCAGGAAAAGGAAGAGGAAACAAGAAGAGGAGGGGAAGAGGGTAGCCAATCAGAGTCGGAAGAGCTTGTATTGATGGAGAGCAGAAGAGGAACAAGGGGTGGATAAAGAGGCAAAAGTTACCTAGAAGAGGAAAAGAGAGGGGAAGAGGAGCCAGGAATCATCCGGTAAGGGATAGCAGGAGAGTGGATGGATAGCAGAAGAGGCGGAAGAGGTGATGATAAAGAGGCGGAAAGGTTAGCAGAAGAGTCGGGAGAAGAGGCAGGAGAGCCGGAACCATAGCAGGAGATGGAAGAGGATTGATGGAGAGTCGGGAGAGGATAGAAGAAGAGGCGGAAGATAATAGGCAAAAGTTATGGGAAGAGAAAAGCAGGAGAGGCGGAAGAGGATTTCATCAGGAGAGTGGAAGAGGATAGCAGGAGAGGAACGGAAGAGGAGCAGATGAAAAATGTGGAAGGGATAGCAGGAGAGGCGGAAGAGGAGAGGCAGAAGAGGCGGAAGAGGATAGGAGGAGAGGCGGGAAGAGGGGTAGCAGGAGAGGCGGAAGAGGATAGCAGAAGAGGCGGAAAGAGGAGGCAAAGAGGCGGAAGAGAACAATCAGGAGATGGAAGAGATAGCAGGAGAGCGGAAGAGGATAGCAGAAGAGGCGGAAGAGGATTTCAGGAGAAAGCGGAAGAGAATAGCAGGAAAAGGGAGAGAAATTCAGGAGAGGTGGAAGAGGAATGAGCTTGTATGGATGGATAGCAGGAGAGTCGGGAAGAGGGTGATGATAAAGAGGAAAAAGAGGATAACAAGAAGAGGCGGAAGAAATAGCAGGAGAGTCATAATCAGAGGATTTAATGAGAGCTTTGGAAGATGGATAGCAGAAGAGGCGGAAGGGTGATGATAAAGAGGGAAAGTTACCTAGAGGAAGAAAGGAGAGGCGGAAGAGGAGAGCAGGAATCAGGAAGAGGGAAGCATGGGAGCAGGGAGGAGGAGGGGAGAAGAGGCGGAAAGGATACAGGAGAGGCGGAAGAAGCAGGAGAAAGGAGGATTGGAAGAGAGGAAGAAGTTAGCAGAAGAAAAGAAAGAGGAAAGCAGGAGAGCCGGAAGAGGATATGTAATGAGCTTGGAAGAGGATAGCAGAAGAGGAGGAAGAGGATGATAAAGAGGCAAAAGTTACCTAGAACAAGAAAAGAGAGGAAATTGTGGAGAGCCATAATCATCCAGTAATGAGGCGGAATGGATGGATAGCAGAAGAGGAACTAGGAAGATGATAAAGAGGCAAAAGAGGCGGAAGAGGAAAAGCAGGAGAGTGGAAGAGGGATAATCATCATGTAAGAGCTTGGAAGAGGATAGCAGAAGAGAACAAGGGGGATGCAGGAGAGGCAAAGGTTACCTAGAAGAAGAAAAGAGGAAAAGAAGAGGCGGATAATCATAGCAGGAGATGTCGGGAGAGGATAGCAGGAGAGGCGGAAGAGGATGAGCAGAAGAGGTGGAAGAGGGATAGAAGGAGAAAAGAGAGGGAGGAGAGGATGGAAGAGGATAGCAGGATGCGGGGCGGAAGGATGGATAGCAGGAGAGGAAAAATAGGAGAGGCGGAAGAGGATAAGAAGAGGCGGAAGAGGGTGGAGAGCCATAAAGAGGAAGTAAGGAGCTTGGAAGAGGATAGCAGAAGAGGGGGAAGGTGATAGCAAAGAGGCAAAAGGACCTAGAATGAAGAAAAGAGGAAATTGCAGGAGAGGCGGAAGAGGGTATGTAATGAGGAGATGATGGATAGAGGAGAGGAAAGAAGGTGATGATAAAGAGGCAAATAGCAGGAGAACAAGAAAAGAGAGGAAATTGTGGGAAGAGGATAGCAGGATGAGTTGGAAAGGATGGATAGCAGAAGAGGAACAAGGGTGATGATAAAGAGGCAAAGAGGATAGAACAAGAAAGAGAAGAGGATAGTGGAGAGCCATAATCAGAGGATGTAATGAGCTTGCGGGAGAGGATAGCAGAAGAGTGGAAGGGATAGCATAAAGAGGTGGAAGAAATAGCAGGAGATTCGGGAAAAGGATAGAAAGGAGAGGTGGAAGTAAGGATGTATGGATGGAGAGGTGGAAGAGGAAGAAGGGGTGATGATAAAGAGGAAAGGTTACCTAGAAGAAGCGGAGAGAGGAAGCAGGAGAGGCGGAAGAGGTAATGAGCAGGATGGATGGATAGAGAAGAGGACTAGCAGGTGATGATAAAGAGGCAAAAGAGACCTAGAACAGGAAAAGAGAGGAAATTGTGGAGAGGATAATCATCCATGGGAAGAGGATAGCAGGAGATGGGCGGAAGAAGGAGGAACAAGGGAAGAGGATAGATAGAGAGGGAAAAAGTTAGCAGAACAGGAAAAGAGAGGAAATTGTGGAGAGGATAATCATCCGGAAGAGGATGAGCTTGTGATGGATGGATAGCAGAAGAGGAACAAGGATGATGATAAAGAGGCAAAAGTTACCTAGAACAAGAAGGAGAGGAAGAGGCGGAGCCAGGAATCAAAGAGTAATGAAGAGGATTGGATGGAGAGGCGGAAGAGGATAGTGACAGAAGAGATTGGAAGAGGAAAGCAGGAGAACAAAAGGAAATAGGAGAGGCGGAAGAGGATAGCAGTAAGAGCTTGAAGAGGATGGATAGCAGAAGAGGAAGAGGGATAGCAGGAGAGGCGGAAGAGGATAGCTAGAACAAGGCGGAAGAGGAAAGGGAGAGCAGATAATCATCTATGGAAAGGAGCAGAAGATGGAAGAGGATAGCAGAAGAGTGGAAGAGGATAAGCAGGAAAGGTTGGAAGAGAACAAGAAAAGAGGTGGAAATTGTGGAGAGCCATAAGATCCATGTAATGAGCTTGGAAGAGGATAGCAGAAGAGCCGGAAGAGGATGATAAAGAGGCAAAAGGTTACCTAGAGAGGCGGAAGAGGAGAGCATGAAATTGTGGAAGAGGGATAGCAGGAGAGTCGGAAGAGGATAGCATGTGGATGGATAGATGGAAGAGGATAGCAGAGAGGCGGAAGAGGATAGCAGAAGAGGCGGAAGAGGATAGCAGGAGATGGTGGAAGAGGAGGGCAGGAGGCGGAATGATAGCAGGAGAGGCGGAAGAGGATAGCAGGAGAGGGGTGATGATAGGAGAGGAAAAGATCTAGAACAAGAAAGAGGAGAGGAGAGTGGAAGAGGATAATCAGAGAGGCAGAAGAAGCTAGCATGAATGGATAGCAGATAGAAGGTGAGGAAGGGATGGCAGGAGAGGCAAAAGGATTAAACAGGAGAGGTGGAAGAGGAAAGAGGAGAGCCGGAATCATCATGTACAGGAGTTTGTAAGATGGATAGCAGAAGAGGTGGAAGAGGTAGATGATAAAGAGGCAAAGGAGAGGCGGAACAAGAAAGCAGAAATTGTGGGAAGCCATAAGCATCCATGTAATGAGGAGCAGGAGAGGATGGAAGAGAAGAGCAGGAGAGGTGGAAGAGGAAAGAGGCAAAAGTTACCTAGAACAAGAAAAAGAGAGGAGAGTCGGAAGAGGATCATCAGAAGAGGCAGGAAGAGGGATAAGGAGATCGGGAAGAGGAAAGGAGAGATGGGAAGAGGAGAGCAGGAGAGGTGGAACAAGGATAGCAGGAGATTGTGGAAGAGGATAGCATAAGAGCTTGGAAGATGGATAGCAGAAGAGGCGGAAAAGGATAGCAGGAGAGGCAAAAGATAGGAGAACGGGAAGAGGAGAGGAAATTGTGGAAGAGGATAGCATGAGATGTGGAAGAGGATGAGGCTTGAGGGAAGAGGATAGCAGAGAGAGGAAAAGGGATGGGAGAGTGGGAAAAAGGACCTAGAACAAGGTGGAAGAGGAAAGCATGGATGCCATAAGAGGATACTTAATGAGAGTATGGATGGATAGCAGGAGAGGAAAAGGAAGAGGATGATAAAAGAGGGAAGGAAGAGGATAGAATGAGGAGATGGGCGGAAAGAGAGGAACAGGGGAGGATGAAGAGGAAAGTTAGGAGTGGAAGAGGATAGCAGGAAATTGTGGAAGAGGATCAGCAAAGAGGCGGAAGAAGCAGAAGGTGGAGAGAGGAAAGCAAAAGTTGGGAAGAGATTCATGAGAATTGGAAGAGGATAGCATAAGATGGGAGGTATTGATGGATAGGAAGCAGGAACAAGGGAAGATGATAAAGAGGCAAAAGAGGATAGCAGAACAAGCGGAAGAGGAAAGCAGGAGAGAGCGGAACAAGGATAGCAGGAGAGCTTGTATGGATGGATAGCAGGAGAGGCGGAAGAGGATAGCATGAGATGTGGAAGAGGATAGCAGGAGAGGTGGAAGAGGATAGCAGGAGAGGCGGAAGAGGATAGCAGGAGAGGCGGAAGAGGATAGCAGGAGAGGTGGAAGAGGATAGCAGGAGAGGTGGAAGAGGATAGCAGGAGAGGCGGAAGAGGATAGCAGGAGATGTGGAAGAGGATAGCAGGAGAGGCGGAAGAGGTAGCAGGAGTCGGGAGAGGATTTCAGGAGAGGCGGAAGAGGATAGCAGAAGAGGCGGAAGAGGGATAGCAGGAGAGTCGGGAGAGGACAGCAGGAGAGGTGGAAGAGGATAGCAGAAGAGGCGGAAGAGGGTAGCAGGAGAGTGGAAGAGGAGCAGAGGTGGAAGAAGAGGAGAAGAGGTGGAAGAGGTAGCAGGAGTCGGAAGAGGATAGCAGGAGGAAGAGGAAGAGCGGAAGAGGGTGGAAGAGGATAGCAGGGGAGGCGGAAGAGGAGAGCAGGAGAGGTGGAAGAGGATAGCAGGGAGAGAAGCAGGAAGAGGGTAGCAGGAGAGTCGGAAGAGGATAGCAGGAGAGGCGGAAGAGGATAGCAGGAGAGGTGGAAGAGGGATAGCAGGAGATGACGGGAAGAGGATAGCAGGTGAGGTGGAAGAGGATTTCAGAAGAGGCGGAAGAGGATTAGCAGGAGAGGTGAGGAGGATAGTGGGAAGAGGCGGAAGAGGGAAGAGGAGAGGCGGAATAGGATAGCAGGGGATGTGGAAGAGGATAGCAGGAGAGGCGGAAGAGGATAGCAGGAGAGGCGGAATAGGATAGCAGGAGAGGTGGGAAGAGGAAGAGGAGAGGCAGGAAGAGAGGATAGCAGGAGAGGCGGAAGAGGATAGCAGGAGAGGCGGAAGAGGATAGCAGGAGAGTCGAAGAAGAGGATCAGGAGAGGCGGAAGAGGTAGCAGGAGAGTCGGAAGAGGATTTCAGGAGAGGCGGAAGAGGATAGCGGAGAGGATAGCAGGAGAGGTGGAAGAGGATAGCAGGAGAGGTGGAAGAGGATAGCAGGGAAGAGGTGGAAGAGCAGAAGAGGTGGGAAGAGGATAGCAGGAGAGGCGGAAGAGGATAGCAGGAGAGGTGGAAGAGGATAGCAGGAGAGGTGGAAGAGGATAGCAGGAGAGGTGGAAGAGGATAGCATGTGATGTGGAAGAGGATAGCATGAGATGTGGAAGAGGATAGCAGGAGAGGTGGAAGAGGATAGCAGGAGAGGCGGAAGAGGATTCAGGAGAGGCGGGAAGAGGATAGCAGAAGAGGCGGAAGAGGGTAGCAGGAGAGGTGGGAGAGGATTTCAGAGAGGCGGAAGAGGATAGCAGAAGAGGCGGAAGAGGTAGCAGGAGAGTCGGGAGAGGATAGCAGGAGAGGCGGAAGAGGATAGCAGAAGAGGCGGAAGAGGATAGCAGGAGAGTCGGGAGGATTTCAGGAGAGGCGGAAGAGGATAGCAGGAGAGGTGGAAGAGGATAGCAGGAGAGGTGGAAGAGGATAGCAGGAGAGGCGGAAGAGGATAGCAGGAGAGGCGGAAGAGGATAGCATGAGATGTGGAAGAGGATAGCAGGAGAGGCGGAAGAGGATAGCATGAGATGTGGAAGAGGATAGCAGGAGAGGTGGAAGAGGATAGCAGGAGAGGCGGAAGAGTATAGCTTGAGAGGCGGAAGAGGATAGCATGAGAGGCGGAAGAGGATAGCAGGAGAGGATAGCGGAGAGGGGAAGAGATTAGCAGAGAGGCGGGAAGAGGATAGCAGCAGAGGCGGAAGAGGATAGCAGGAGAGGCGGAATAGGATAGCAGGAGAGGCGGAAGAGGATAGCAGGAGGACGGAAGAGGATAGCAGAAGAGGGGAAGAGGATAGCAGGAGAGAAGGGAAGAGGATTTCAGGAGAGGCGGAAGAGGATAGCAGGAGAGGCGGAAGAGGGATAGCAGGAGAGTCGGAAGAGGATAGCAGGAGAGGTGGGAAGAGGATAGCAGGAGAGCCGGGAAGAGGATTTCAGAAGAGGCGGAAGAGGATAGCAGGAGGGGAAGAGGATAGCAGGAGAGTCGGAAGAGGATATCAGGAGAGGCGGAATAAGATAGCAGGAGAGGAGAGGCATGTGGAAGTGGAAGAGGATAGCAGAAGGTGGAGGGGTAGCAGGAGAGTCGGGAAGAGGATAGCAGCAGAGGCGGAAGAGGATAGCAGGAGAGGCGGAATAGGATAGCAGGAGAGTCGGAAGAGGATTTCAGGAGGTGGAAGAGGATAGCAGAAGAGGAAGAGGGTAGCAGGAGAGACAGCATGGGAAGGGAGAGCAGGAGAGGCGGAAGAGGATAGCATGTGATGTGGAAGAGGATAGCAGGAGAGGTGGAAGAGGATAGCAGGAGAGGCGGAAGAGGATAGCAGGAGAGGTGGAAGAGGATAGCAGGAGAGGCGGAAGAGGATAGCAGGAGAGGCGGAAGAGGATAGCAGAGTAGGTGGAAGAGGATAGCAGGAGAGGCGGAAGAGGATAGCAGGAGAGGCGGAAGAGGATAGCAGGAGAGGCGGAAGAGGATAGCAGGAGAGGCGGAAGAGGATAGCAGGAGAGGCGGAAGAGGATAGCAGGAGAGGCGGAAGAGGATAGCAGGAGAGGCGGAAGAGGATAGCAGGAGAGGTGGAAGAGGATAGCAGGAGAGGTGGAAGAGGATAGCATGAGAGGCGGAAGAGGATAGCAGATGAGAGGTGGAAGAGGATAGCAGGAGAGGCGGAAGAGGATAGCAGGAGAGGGAAGAGGATAGCAGCAGAGGCGGAAGAGGATAGCTGGAGAGGCGGAAGAGGATAGCAGGAGAGCCGGGAAGAGATTTCAGGAGAGGTGGAAGAGGATAGCAGGAGAGGCGGAAGAGGATAGCAGGAGAGGTGGAAGAGGATAGCAGGAGAGGCGGAAGAGGATAGCAGGAGAGGTGGAAGAGGATAGCAGGAGAGGCGGAAGAGGATAGCAGGAGAGGCGGAAGAGGATAGCAGGAGAGGTGGAAGAGGGAGAGAGTGTGGAAGAGGATAGCAGGGAAGATAGCGGAAGAGGATTTCAGGAGAGGCGGGAAGAGGATAGCAGGAGAGGTGGAAGAGGATAGCAGGAGAGGCGGAAGAGTATAGCTTGAGAGGCGGAAGAGGATAGCATGAGATGTGGAAGAGGATAGCAGGAGAGGCGGAAGAGGATAGCAGGAGAGGCGGAAGAGGATAGCAGGAGAGGCGGAAGAGGATAGCAGGAGAGGCGGAAGAGGAGGCAGGAGGCAGAAAGAGGATAGTGGGAGAGGGAAGAGGATAGCAGGAGAGGCGGAAGAGGACAGCAGGAGAGGCGGAAGATAGCAGGAGAGGCGGAAGAGGGTAGCAGGAGGCGGGAAGAGGATAGCAGGAGAGGAAGAGGAGAGGAGAGCAGGAAGAGGGCGGAAGAGGGATAGCAGGAGAGGTGGAAGAGGATTTCAGGAGAGGTGGAAGAGGGTAGCAGGGAGAAGAGAGGATTAGCAGGAGAGGCGGAAGAGGATAGCAGGAGAGGCGGAAGAGGATAGCAGGAGAGTCGGGAGAGGATTTCAGGAGAGGCGGAAGAGGATAGCAGAAGAGGCGGAAGAGGGTAGCAGGAGAGTCGGGGAAGAGGATAGCAGGAGAGGCGGAAGAGGATAGCAGGAGAGGTGGAAGAGGATAGCAGGAGAGGTGGAAGAGGATAGCAGGAGAGGCGGAAGAGGATAGCATGAGATGTGGAAGAGGATAGCAGGAGAGGTGGAAGAGGATAGCAGGAGAGGTGGAAGAGGATAGCATGAGAGGCGGAAAGAGATAGCAGAAGAGGGGATAGCAGGAGAGTCGGAAGAGGATTAGAGTGAGGTGGAAGAGGAGAGGGAAGAGGATAGCAGGAGAGGCGGGAAGAGGGTAGCAGGAGAGGCGGGAAGAGGATAGCAGGAGGCGGAAGAGGATAGCAGGAGAGGCGGAAGAGGGTAGCAGGAGAGTCGGGAGAGGATAGCAGGAGAGGTGGGAAGAGGATAGCAGGAAGAGGAGGATAGCAGGAGAGGTGGAAGAGGATAGCAGGAGAGGCGGAAGAGGTAGCAGGAGAGGCGGAAGAGGATAGCAGGAGAGGCGGAAGAGGATAGCAGGAGAGTCGGGAAGAGGAGCAGGAGAGGTGGAAGAGGATAGCAGAAGAGGCGGAAGAGGTAGCAGGAGAGTCGGGAAGAGGATAGCAGGAGAGGCGGAAGAGGATAGCAGCAGAGGCGGAAGAGGATAGCAGAAGAGTCGGGAAGAGGATAGCAGGAGAGGCGGAAGAGGATAGCAGGAGAGGCGGAAGAGGATAGCAGGAGAGTCGGGAAGAGGATAGCAGGAGAGGCGGAAGAGGATAGCAGAGGAGGTGGAAGAGGATAGCAGGAGAGTCGGGAGAGGATAGCAGGAGAGGTGGAAGAGGATAGAGGAAGAGGATAGCAGGAGAGGTGGGAGAGGATTTCAGGTGATGTGGAATAGGATAGCAGGAGAGACGGAAGAGGATTTCAGGAGAGGCGGAAGAGGATAGCAGGAGGAGGGCGGAAGAGGATAGCAGGAGAGGCGGAAGAGGATAGCAGAGAGGTGGAAGAGGAGCAGCAGATTTTCAGAAGAGGAGAGAGGAAGAGGATAGCAGGAGAGACGGAAAAGGATAGCAGTGAGGGGAAAAATTTCAGAAGAGGTGGAAGAGGATAGCAGAAGATGTGGAAGGGATAGCAGGAGAGTGGGAAGAGGATTTAGGAGAGGCGGAAGAGGATAGCTAGAGAGGCGGAAGAGGGTAGCAGGAGATGGGGGAGAGGATTTCAGGAGAGGCGGAAAGAGGATAGCAGAAGAGGCGGAAGAGGATAGCAGGAGAGTCGGGAGAGGATTTCAGGAGAGGCGGAAGAGGACAGCAGGAGAGGGTGGAAGAGGATAGCAGGAGAGTCGGGAGAGGATTTCAGGAGAGGCGGAAGAGGAGCAGGAGAGGCGGAAGGAGCAGGAGAGGTGGAAGAGGATAGCAGGAGAGTCGGAAGAGGATAGCAGAAGAGGCGGAAGAGGATAGCAGGAGAGGGAAGAGAGGAGAGCGGAGGAGAGGATGGGAAGAGGATAGCAGGAGAGGGAAGAGGATAGCAGGAAGAGGACGGAAGAGGATAGCAGGAGAGAAGGAAGAGGGATTTCAGGAGATGGAAGAGGATAAGAGAGGTGGAAGAGATAGCAGGAGAGGAAGAATAAGATAGGCAGGAAGAGGAAGAGGATAGGAGAGGGAAGAGAGCAGGAAGAGGTGGAGAGGTGGAAGAGGATAGCAGGAGAGGCGGAAGAGGATAGCTTGAGAGGCGGAAGAGGATAGCATGAGATGTGGAAGAGGATAGCAGGAGAGGTGGAAGAGGATAGCAGGAGAGGCTGGAAGAGGATAGCAGGAGAGGCGGAAGAGGATAGCATGAGATGTGGAAGAGGATAGCAGGAGAGGCGGAAGAGGATAGCAGGAGAGGCGGAAGAGGATAGCAGGAGAGGCGGGAGAGGATTTCAGGAGAGATGTGGAAGAGGATTGCAGGAGAGGCGGGAAGAGGATAGCAGGAGAGGGGAAGAGGATTTCAGGAGAGGCGGGAAGAGGATTTGGTGAAGAGGCGGAAGAGGGATTAGCAGGAGAGTGGAAGAGGGGCAGGAGCAGGAGGATAGCAGGATAGACGGAAGAGGATTTCAGGAGAGGTGGGAAGAGGATAGCAGGAGGACGGAAGAGGACAGCAGGAGAGGAGGAAGTGGAAAAGGATTGCAGGAGAGGCGGAAGAGGATAGCAGGAGAGGTGGAAGAGGATTTCAGGAGAGGCGGGAATAGGATAGCAGGAGAGACGGAAGAGGATAGCAGGAGAGGCGGAAAAATTTCAGGAGAGGATGGGAAGAGGATAGCAGGAGAGGTGGAAGAGGGTAGCAGGAGAGTCGGGAAGAGGATAGCATGAGAGGGGGAAGAGGAGAGCAGAAGAGGAGGGAAGAGGATAGGCAGGAGAGTCGGAAGAGGATTTCAGGAGAGGTGGAAGAGGAGGTGGAAAGAGGATAGCAGGAGAGGCGGGAGAAGAGGATAGCAGGAGAGGCGGAAGAGGATTTCAGGAGAGGCGGAAGAGGATAGCAGGAGAGTCGGGAGAGGATAGCAGGAGAGGCGGGAAGAGGATTTCAGGAGAGGCGGGAAGAGGGTAGCAGGAGAGTCGGGAGAGGATAGCAGGAGAGGATGTGGAAGAGGATAGCAGGAGAGGCGGAAGAGGGTAGCAGGAGAGTCGGGAGAGGATTTCAGGAGAGGCGGAAGAGGATAGCAGGAGTGGCGGAAGAGGGTAGCAGGAGAGTCGGGGAGAGGAGGAGAGGCATGAAGAAGAGAGGATTTCCAGAGGTGGAAGAGGATAGCAGGAGAGGCGGAAGAGGAGGCGGAAGAGGATTGGGAGAGAGGCGGAAGAGGATAGCAGGAGAGACGGAAGAGGATTTCAGGAGAGGCAGAAGAGGATAGCAGGAGAGACGGGAAGAGGATAGCAGGAGACAGAAAATTTCAGAAGAGGGGGGAAGAGGATAGCAGGAGAGGCGGGAAGAGGACGGAGAGGCGGAAGAGGATAGCAGGAGAGGTGGAAGAGGGATAGCAGGAGAGACGGAAGAGGATTTCAGGAGAGGTGAAGAGGAAGAGGAGTGAGGGAAGAGGGGAGAGGGGAAGAGGATAGCAGGAGAGGCGGGAAGAGGATAGCAGGAGAGGCGGAAGAGGAATAAGGAGAGACGGGAAGGGGAGGAGAGGATTTCAGAGAGGCGGAAGAGGATAGCAGGAGAGGCGGAAGAGGGTAGCAGGAGAGTCGGAAGAGGATTTCAGGAGAGGCGGAAGAGGATAGCAGGAGAGGCGGAAGAGAGGATTTCGTGGGAGAGGGAAGAGGATATGAGAGGAGAGGCGGAAGAGGATAGCAGAGAGTCGGAAGAGGATTAGCAGGGAAGAGGATAGCAGGAGAGGCGGAAGAGGGGAGAGCGGGAGAGGTCAGGAGAGAAGAGCAGGAGAGGCGGAAGAGGATAGCAGGAGAGGCGGAAGAGGATAGCAGAGGAAGGGAAGCAGCAGGAGAGGCGGGAGAGGATTTCAGGAGGCGGAAGAGGATAGCAGGAGAGAGGCGGAAGAGGCGGAGGAGGATTTCAGGAGAGAGGAGGGTAGCAGGAGAGGCGGGAAGAGGATTTCAGGAGAGGCGGAAGAGGATAGCAGGAGAGTCGGAAGAGGATTTCAGGAGAGGCGGAAGAGGATAGCAGGAGAGTCGGAAGAGGATTTCAGGAGAGGCGGGGAGGATTGCAGGAGAGGAGAGGATAGCAGGAGAGGGAAGAGGATAGCAGGAGAGGCGGAAGAGGATAGCAGGAATGGTGGAAGAGGATAACGGGAGGAGAGGTGGAAGAGGGAGAGGCGGGAAGAGGATAGCAGAAGAGGCGGAAGAGGATAGCAGGAGAGTCGGAAGAGGATTTCAGGAGAGGCGGAAGAGGATAGCAGAAGAGGCGGAAGAGGATAGCAGGAGAGGTGGGGAAGAGGCGGAAGAGGATTTCAGGAGAGGCGGAAGAGGAGCAGGAGAGTCGGAGGAGGAGAGGCGAAGAGAGGCAGAAGAGGATAGCAGGAGAGACGGAAGAGGAAGACAGAGAGACTGGAAGAGGATTTCAGGGAGGAAGACGGAATGATTGGATAGCAGGAGAGGCGGAAAGGATTGCAGGAGAGGCGGAAGAGGATAACAGGAAGTGGGAAGAGGATAGCAGAGAGGCGGAAGAGGATAGCAGGAGAGGCGGAAGAGGATAGCAGGAGAGGCGGAAGAGGGTAGGGGAGATGCGGAAGAGGATTTCAGGAGAGGGGAAGAGGATAGCAGAAGAGGCGGGAAGAGGGTAGCAGGAGAGTCGGGAGAGGATTAGCAGGAGAGGCGGAAGAGGATTTCAGAAGAGGCGGAAGAGGGTAGCAGGAGAGTCGGAAGAGGATTTCAGAGAGCAGAATAAGATAGCAGGATAGACGGAAGAGGATTTCAGGAGAGGCGGAAGAGGATAGCAGGAGACGGAAGAGGACAGCAGAAGAGGCGGGAAGAGGATTTCAGGAGAGGCGGAAGAGGATAGCAGGAGAGTCGGAAGAGGATAGCAGGAGAGGTGAAAGAAGATCAGGCAGGGAAATGACGGAAGAGGATAGCAGGGGCGGAAGGATTTCTGGAAGAGGGGGAAGAGGATTTCAGGAGAGGCGGAAGAGAGGGTAGCAGGAGAGTCGGGAGAGGATTTCAGGAGAGGAAGAGATAGCAGAAGAGGAAGAGGCGGAAGAGGGTAGCAGGAGAGGAATTCGGAGAGGATTGCAGGAGAGGCGGAGGAGTCGGAAGAGGATTTCAGAGGAAGAGGCAGGGAATAGGGTAGCAGGAGAGTCGGGAGAGGATTTCAGGAGAGGCGGAAGAGGATAGCAGAAGAGGCGGAAGAGGGTAGCAGGAGAGTCGGGAGAGGATTTCAGGAGAGGCGGAAGAGGATTTCAGGAGAGGCGGAAGAGGGTAGCAGGAGAGTCGGGAGAGGATTTCAGGAGAGGCGGAAGAGGATAGCAGAAGAGGCGGAAGAGGGTAGCAGGAGAGTCGGGAGAGGATTTCAGGAGAGGCGGAAGAGGATAGCAGGAGTGACGGGAGAGGATTCAGCAGGAGAGGCTGAAGAGGATAGCAGGAGGCGGAAGAGGGTAGCAGGAGAGTCGGGAGAGAGGTTCGGGAAGAGGATTGCAGAAGAGGCGGAAGAGGATAGCAGGTTCGGGGGAGAGGCAGGGAGGCGGAGATAGCTCGGGAAGAGGATTTCAGGAGAGGCAGAAGAGGGCAGGAAAGACGGGAGAGGATAGCAGGAGAGGCGGAAAAGGATTGCAGAAGAGAAGAGGAAGAGGAGTCGGAAGAGGATTTCAGGAGGAGAGGCAGGAAGAGGGATAGCAGGAAGAGGCGACAGAAGAGGGAAAGCAGGAGAGTCGGAAGAGGATTTCAGGAGAGGCGGAAGAGGATAGCAGAAGAGGCGGAAGAGGGTAGCAGGGAGAGTCAGGGGAGAGGGGGATTTCGGAAGAGGGAGAGGCCGAAGAGGATTTCAGGAGAGGCGAAGAGATAGAGGAAGAGGGGTAGGGCAGAGTCGGAAGAGAATTTTCAGGAGGATAGCGGAAGAGGGGGTAGGGATAGCAGGAGAGTCGGGAGAGGATTTCAGGAGAGGCGGAAGAGGATTTCAGGAGAGGCGGAAGAGGGTAGCAGGAGAGTCGGGAGAGGATTTCAGGAGAGGCGGAAGAGGATAGCAGAAGAGGCGGAAGAGGGTAGCAGGAGAGTCGGGAGAGGATTTCAGGAGAGGCGGAATACGATAGCAGGATAGACGGAAGAGGATTTCAGGACAGACTGAAGAGGATAGCAGGAGTGACGGAATCCGATAGCAGGTTCGGCGGAAAAGGATTGCAGGAGAGGCGGAAGAGGATAGCAGGATAGTCGGAAGAGGATTTCAGGAGAGGCAGAATAAGATAGCAGGAATGACGGAATTGGATAGCAGGTGAGGCGGAAAAATTTCAGAAGAGGCGGAAGAGGATTTCAGGAGAGGCGGAAGAGGGTAGCAGGAGAGTCGGGAGAGGATTTCAGGAGAGGCGGAAGAGGATAGCAGAAGAGGCGGAAGAGGGTAGCAGGAGAGTCGGGAGAGGATTTCAGGAGAGGCGGAAGAGGATTTCAGGAGAGGCGGAAGAGGGTAGCAGGAGAGTCGGGAGAGGATTTCAGGAGAGGCGGAAGAGGATAGCAGAAGAGGCGGAAGAGGGTAGCAGGAGAGTCGGGAGAGGATTTCAGGAGAGGCGGAAGAGGATAGCAGAAGAGGCGGAAGAGGGTAGCAGGAGAGTCGGGAGAGGATTTCAGGAGAGGCGGAAGAGGATAGCAGAAGAGGCGGAAGAGGGTAGCAGGAGAGTCGGGAGAGGATTTCAGGAGAGGCGGAAGAGGATTTCAGGAGAGGCGGAAGAGGGTAGCAGGAGAGTCGGAAGAGGATTTCAGGAGAGGCAGAATAAGATAGCAGGATAGACGGAAGAGGATTTCAGGACAGACTGAAGAGGATAGCAGGAGTGACGGAATCCGATAGCAGGTTCGGCGGAAAAGGATTGCAGGAGAGGCGGAAGAGGATAGCAGGAGAGTCGGAAGAGGATTTCAGGAGAGGCAGAATAAGATAGCAGGAATGACGGAATTGGATAGCAGGTGAGGCGGAAAAATTTCAGAAGAGGCGGAAGAGGATTTCAGGAGAGGCGGAAGAGGAAGAGGAGAGTCGGGGAGAGGATTTCAGGAGAGGATCGGGAGGGAAGAGGATTTCAGAAGAGGCGGAAGAGGGTAGCAGGAGAGTCGGGAGAGGATTTCAGGGAGAGGCCGGAAGAGGATCAGCAGAAGAGGCGGAAGAGGGTAGCAGGAGAGTCGGAAGAGAAGGACAGCAGGAGAGGCGGAAGAGGATAGCAGAAGGAGAAGGCGGAAGAGGGTAGCAGGAGAGAGGGGGAGGAGGATTGCAGGAGAGGCGGAAGAGGAGATAGCAGGACGGAGAGGCAGGAAGAGGGAAGAGGAGAGGAGGAGTGACGGAAGAGGAGATCGGGGAAGAGGAGGCAGAATAAGATAGCAGGATAGACGGAAGAGGATTTCATGACAGACTGAAGAGGATAGCAGGAGTGACGGAATCCGATAGCAGGTTCGGCGGAAAAGGATTGCAGGAGAGGCGGAAGAGGATAGCAGGATAGTCGGAAGAGGATTTCAGGAGAGGCAGAATAAGATAGCAGGAATGACGGAATTGGATAGCAGGTGAGGCGGAAAAATTTCAGAAGATGCGGAAGAGGATAATTGTTATCCTCTTCCGCCTCTCCTGAAATCCTCTTCCGACTATCCTGCTATCCTCTTCTGCCTCTCCTGAAATCCTCTTCCGACTCTCCAGCTAATCCTATATGGATTCGTGACACGTTGTTTTTGAGTCTTAAGTAAGTCTTAACATCTTAAGCTGTCTGTTCTTTGAGAAACTGATTCTTGGTGTGTCTTCAGGCGATAATCGTAAAACTTGTTTTGGTTGTATGAATCTAAGTCACTATTCAAAAATAAATTGCCAACTCCAACCGGATCTGGATCTGGAACTGCCCGAACTCCAACTGATTTTCGGTCGCTGCGACTTTGCTTATATGGAAGCAGACCAAAATCAGGATGGGCCTTGTCGGGGCTTGAGGTTCCCTGACAATTTCAAATCCACAATCCCCTTTTTTTATTTATTATTTCCATTTTTGGAAGTCTTCTCTTACCATACCCTCAGAGGGCGTCAACGATTTTTTTTATTTCTTCGCAGTAACATCTCATACCTATCCTCTTTAATGAGTGGTAGCAGGCCTCCCATTTGCATCACATGATCACCTCCGCCTGGCTCTCGTTAACATTCAACCAATGGGCGATCAACAGGGTGGGTGTGACCAGATTAGCCTTGTTTCTTAAAAAAATACATCTTGCTCAAAGAAAAAAGAATTATCTCCTCTTTTTCTTTTTTTCTATTTCCTTCTTTCTTCTTTTCTATTCTTCTCTAGCCGCCAACAGAACAATACGAGGAGTAGTGTGATAACCCCAATTCCTATCCCAAAGTCACTTTCATCGGACTTCGTCAATCAGATTTTCGCCAATTATCAGGGTGGGTGGTCATCTATCGAAACACAGCCAACTTTTCAATAAAATAGTTTCGCTGTTACCGCCAGATTCTAACACAACCCAGATACCTTTGTCTAACGATAACTTTCCATCGACAAAGACGTAACCTATTTTCTTTGTTTTTTTTCAGCTCGTGTGTGGTCAACGGCGACCTATTAAATTTTATCTCTGTAGTTTTGGTAGCTCCCAAATGGCATTCCAGTGACACAGTTAAATGTTTATCTATTCTGTCCCGGAGTTTAGCTAGCCTATCTGGAACTTGTCAACCAAGTGACTGGTCCAAACAGACGCATTCACTTCTCGGCGCCAACCACTGATACGATGGAACGGCTTCGCCATTTTTCTGATAATATAAGTTCGCCACCACGACACCGTTATTTTATTTATCTATTTAGAATTCTCGATAATAGCAATGAAACCCTTCACCATTTTTCATTATCAAAATTTCATTTCTTTCCCTTCTTTTCTTCCTTTTCCTTGCATCCCTAAATGGTGTCATATCTATCTATCTATCTATCTATCTATCTCAGTCAATTTATATCTATCTATAGTTCTGTTCATATCTACCTACCTGTCTGCCTATTTAATTCAGTCTGTCCACGGTATATCTATCTATCTATCTATCTATCTATCTATCTATCTATCTATTTATCTATCTATCTATCTATCTCAGTCCCTTTTTGAGTCATAAATACTTTTTAAATATTCAATTGCTTTGTACATGAATCCAGAACAATACAATTTCGAGTTTCTAGTATGAAAAAAGATTTACGTTCAAAGACTATATTCTTTCTAACGTTAATTTATAAACCATTTGGGTGCCTACTGTCCCATTTTTTTTTTTTGCCCGTGTGTGTGAAATATAAAGCAAAACCTGTTATAGAAATGAAGACACACACATATATATATATATATATATATTTACAAATATTATATTTATATATATATATATATATATATATATATATATATATATATATTATATATATATATATATATATATATATATATATATATATACATAGATTATATATATATATATATATATATACATATATATATATATATATACATATATATATATATATGTATTTTCCATATATACATAAAATATATATATATGCTGAAGCTCACTTGTCGAAAATTTCGCTGACACAACTGACGCAGATGACATTCTAAAACAAAGCTGTTTCGTTTCTCGGTAATAAACATTTTTTAGAAATGTTACCGTTTTCCTTAGGCATATTAGAAATAATTCTGCGAGCCTCCGGGGGTTAAGATCCGTTTTCTTTCAAAACCGACTGAGGGGAAAAAAAAAGCTTAAGACCGGGGCGCGAGCCAACGTTTTTCAGGAAAGACGCCGTGAGACGATGCAGCTTTTCTTACAGAATATTTTATCTTCGCATTTAAGAAGAGTAAAGATAAGTAAATCACAATTTATCTCGCTATATAGAGCCGTTCATATCTATCTATCTATCTATCTATCTATCTATCTATCTATCTATCTCATTCTGTTCACATCTATCTATCTATCTATCTATCTATCTCAGTCTGTTCACATCTATCTATCTATCTATCTGTAGCGGCCCACAAAGGGGGCACTATTTACAGGAATGGTAATATAAAGAATATACAGAAAAATATTGACACCAAAGCGAAAGTTGCTTCTACGTTTTTCAGGCAACCCTTCCGGCCAGGGAGGCGATCAAGACACTTCAACTTCCTTAAGGCAACACTTCCGTTTATAAGAGGCGAGCAGTTCTGTTGTAATAGAACCGTACGTACCCTGGTGTTGGAGGATCCATGACTTATTACTGATTAGACGCAGCAATTGTGGCACAAGGCTGATAAAAAGGGAGTGATGGATTGGTCATCACTCTCCTATACTTAGCTAATCGGATTTATGGCCCATTCCTTTGTTACAATATACTTATTCTCCATGAGAATTTATCCGTCACCATTCGCTCCTTCTGACACCAAAATGTCACACACACACACACACACACAGAGAGAGAGAGAGAGAGAGAGAGAGAGAGAGCTCCTTCTGGGTAAAAACCGCCCCACGGGGTAGAGTAGGATCCCGTGATTTACTTGACGCCCCACTGAGCCAGGGTGTGACATAAGCTCGATTTCTAACGTAGAGACCCGATTGTTTCTATTCTGGACGCTTGCCTTAGCTTGTGTAAACTGGCCAAATTTTGCCTTAGCTGGCCTTAGCTGGTCAGAGCCGGTCATACCTTCGCTACGTAACAGATGCCACGCAACGGAAGAGGGGGGAAGCAGGGAAGAACAGAAGGCCTACGCCACGGAACAGACACTAAATCTTCAGCGTACATCCCAAGTGGAAAAAAAAACAAAAAAACACTTCTCCTCCGCCGCCATGCCTTTTGAAGAATCCGGTTCGAAGCCCACAGATGCAGGAGGATCCCACAGAGATTCAAGAAAGTTCTCTCTATATACAAGGTTGTTATTATCTTTACTAATTAAGAAGACATTTCGAAAATGTCTTTTCTTCAAGCAAAGGTTCCAACTAGTATTCCGTAGCTGCTCATCAAGTTTTTATGTATTTTGTATATACATAACTTTTGAAGTAGAGGAAGTTTTGTTAGAAAATAGAAACATTGGTATCTGAAGGTACCTAACCAAAGCATTGTTAATCAAGGGAACAAATCCACTTTCGGTTGCTGAGTCGGGGGATGCGACATTATCTATCTATCTATCTATCTATCTATCTATCTATCTCTCTCTCTCTCTCTCTATATATATATATATATATATATATATATATATATACGTAAATCTATGTCTCTTAATATCTATACATAACTGTCTAAGCTTGCTAATATCTATCTATCTATCTATCTATTCATTCATCTATCTATCTATCTATCTATCTCCTTGCTGTCTAAAGGATACTAAGCTAATTTCGCCCCGCAATTTGAAATGAGTTCGTTCTATCTTTACTACTTTAGTCCAAAAATGTTAACAAATCCCAGTTATCTATCTATCTATCTATCTATCTATCTATCTATCTATCTATCTATCTATTTCCTTGTGATCTAAAGAATTGTAAGCTAATTTCGCTGAGCAATTTGAAATGGGTTCGTTCTAGTTTTACTCCTTTAGTCTAAAAATCTTACTAAATCTCAGGTATTGTACATAAGAGATTTTAAATCATGGGATTAATTTTTAGGGTCCCTTTGTAAATGTGGTATTGAGGTATATGTAGGAGGAAAAGGTGAAGGGTGAATTCTTTGGGTGAATGGGTTATTTGTATTGAATGAATCGGTCGTGAATCGGGTTAGCTATGGATAGGATGGGTAAGGATGACCAACCTCAACCCCAACCCCGACTTTAAGGCCATGTGCTAGAATTATTTTTTTTTACATTGATAAATAGAATCTATCTATCTATCTTATGAATTCGTTTTAATTAGTATTTTGTGATCAATAGCTATTTTTTCCTGGTTTCTGCATCAAGTACCTTTAGGTGATAGTGCTGCCCTGGGTCAAGAGGGTGGCTGCTGGAAGACCTTATGCTTGGCAACAGGATTCAGCACGATGCCAACAAACAGCAGAAAGAATCATGACTATCAGACAATTTCAGCGACCACATCATCCCTTACCCTGGCTACCTAACTCCCCAGACTTCAACTCCCTTTATTATTATGGGTGGGGCGGTGTTGAGCGGGAGATCAAAGAAACTCCTTCTAAATGAACTAAAGGCAAGAATTTATGGCAAAATTCACCAGCTTAAACAAGGATGCCACCCAGAAGAATATTCCGAAGTTATGTAGAGTACCGATTTTTATTGAATAAATTTACTCTTTAGTGTTTCAAGATATCGCTACTACTTCTGTCAGACAAACCGTTCCGGTCATTGGAAGGATCATATTTGTGATGGATGGGGAGGGAGTGCAGGGAGGTTCAAAAGGCTCTGCATATATATATATATATATATATATATATATATATATATATATATAAGATAGTTATGGCAACGTAACTTGGTTTGTCTTTGCTATGTTCTTGCTTAGGAATTTAAGTAAACATGTAGAAATCGTATTTTCTTAAAGCAAAGTTTCCTAGTGGTATTCCATAACTGTTCGTCATTTTTTTTAATTATATACATACCTTATATTTTATATATGCATATAATCTGCATGACACTTTACTCCAATTGGCCCATTCGCTTGCTTAAACTCAACGTTGATTCTGATTCCGCAGAACTTGGTTGGGTGTGAAAAAATATTTGTTGTTAACATTCTTTTTTCATTCGGTTTTTCCAGTTACGAGTCCTTTTTTAAAGCTGATCGTTTTGTGTTCATTTTGTTTAGTTCTTTTTTCGTAACAGATTTAATGTTTAGTATACAGCTTAGAAAAAATTCGCAGTGTGAGATAGGCAAGAAGTAAGGCATGTAGCAACATCAGCACGGCAAAGGGCACTCCTTTAAAGGCAGGGAAGGCCAAAAATATTATTTTAGTTAAGTGATAGCGATTGCTGTATGAGTCGTACGATTTTTGAATCAAGCACGGGCAACGCCGGGCCATGCTGCTAGTAACTGTTATATCTACATAACATTTGAAACATAGAAAGGTTTGTTAGAGAAAAGGAACACAGGTACGTGAAGATATGTAACCAAACAATTGTTAGTCAAGGGAGCAAATCCACTTCCGGTTGCTGAACTGGTAGATATGACATATCTATATGTCGAATTGCTTTTTTATAAATAAAATTTATTAATGGCCCTATTGCCTTAAAAAGAATAAAATTCAACGAGTAAATAAGTTTTACAAGAGTCATTTTCATTTCTGTTGAAATTTTAATTATAATCATTTATTATAATAATTTAAAAAAGAAACGTTTAAATCATTTAAAATTCTGCAGTACTTTAGTTACGTTAAGTGATATCTTTATTAAGTGAAAACTAATACTAATTATTAATTTACTAATAATTACTAATAATTAAATAATTTAGTAATACAAAATTGAAAAGATTAATACAAATAATCACACACAAAATTTTCTAAAATAATTTTTATATTTTTATGTATATAAAATAATATGTAACGTTCCAATTTTTGAAAGTATGGTCGACCATACACGACGTTATCAGAAAATAAGAGTGATGACTATAGTAAATTTAAAGTCAACATTCTTAAAATTAGATTACGGAGAATATTTTCAAACATTTTTAAGATTACTGAGTACTTAAAGATTATATAAAAAAGGCTCCCACGTCTTTTTCTTGAATTATGTTTCAACAGATGAAAAATATCCGTAGAACAATAAAGCTGTCATCGTTTTTTCGTCACTCGTCAGTCTCGTAAGCATAGCTACTGTCTTATATTTCTGAGATGAGGTATTGTGATTATATTACATTATTTACATTGTTCGGGCTATTGTCTACATCTTTATTGTCATGTTCGCGACGTTTCGGCCGTTGTACGCTCCGGCGTTCTTCAGAAGGAAATAAAGGGTTCAGTTATAAATTTTAATCATCTGAAGAAGGCCGGAGCGTACAACGGCCAAAACGTCGTGAACATGACAGTAAAGACGGGGAAAACAGTGCGAACAATGAGAATAATGTAAAAAATTGCCATTCTCAGTTAAAAATGCTTCCATTATTTGCTTAAAAATATGTCTGCGGTATTTTAATTTTAAATAACATTTATTTCAAATCAGTTTAATTATCCTTCAAATAAGATAATATTCCACAAATAAATTTTCAGAAAAGTATATTTTATTTTTGGAAGAATTTTAAAATCGAGAATTAACTTTTGTTTACAAATGTGAAAAAAATGGCCGATTTTAATAACATTACCGAAAGCGACCATAGTGTAGAGATTCTAATCAATATAATTTAGATTTGAAATACACCAGGGAATTTTTGCTTACTAGAAATAGTAAAATTAATCATTTAGCTTTAAATTAAAATGAAGCTTTAAGAATCATTTTTCATTTGTAAAAAATCATTTTAAACCTTACGTATGGTGAATTAGTGAGGGTAGAGTAAAATAATTGCCAATTTATCCTTATAGTAAAATCATTTCCAATGCATTCTTATAGTAAAATCATTTCCAATGCATTCTTATAGTAAAATCATTTCCAATGCATTCTTATAATAAAATCATTTCCAATGTATTCTTATAATAAAATCTTTTCCAATGCATTCTTATAGTAAAATCATTTCCAATGCATTCTTATAGTAAAATTATTTCCAATGCATTCTTATAGTAAAACCATTTCCAATGCATTCTTATAGTAAAATCAGTTCCAATGCATTCTTATAGTAAAACCATTTCCACTGCATTCTTATAATAAAATCTTTTCCAATGCATTCTTATAGTAAAATCATTTCCAAAGCATTCTTATAGTAAAATCAGTTCCAGTGCATTCGTATAGTAAAATCATTTCCAATACATTCTTATAGTAAAATCATTTCCAATGCATTCTTATAGTAAAATCATTTCCAATACATTCTTATAGTAAAATCATTTCCAATACATTCTTATAGTAAAATCATTTCCAATGCATTCTTATAGTAAAATCATTTCTAATGCATTCTTATAGTAAAATCATTTCCAATGCATTCTTATAGTAAAATCATTTCTAATGCATTCTTATAATAAATTCATTTCCAATGCATTCTTATAGAAAAATCATTTCCAATGCATTCTTATAATGAATTCATTTCCAATTCATTCTTATAGTAAAATAATTTCCAATGCATTCTTATAATAAATTCATTTCCAATGCATTCTTATAGTAAAATCATTTACAATGTATTCTTATAATAAAACCATTTCCAATGCATTCTTATAATAAAATCATTTCCAATGCATTCTTATAGTAAAATCATTTCCAATGAATTCTTATAGTAAAATCATTTCCAATGCATTCTTATAGTAAAATCATTTCTAATGTATTCTTATAATAAAATCATTTCCAAAGCATTCTTATATTAAAATCATTTCCAATGCATTCTTATAGTAAAATCCTTTCCAAAGCATTCTTATAGTAAAATCATTTCCAATGCATTCTTATAAAAATCATTTCCAATGCATTCTTATAGTAAAATCATTTCTAATGTATTCTTATAATAAAATCATTTCCAATGCTTTTTTATAGTAAAATCATTTCCAATGCATTCTTATAGTAAAATCATTTCTAATGAATTCTTATAATGAAATCATTTCCAATGCTTTCTTACAGTAAAATCATTTCCAATGTATTCTTATAATAAAACCATTTCCAATGCATTCTTATAATAAAATCATTTCCAATGCATTCTTATAGTAAAATCATTTCCAATGCATTTTTATAGTAAAATCATTTCCAATGCATTCCCTATCGTAAAATCATTTCCAATGCATTCTTATAGTAAAATCATTTCCAATGCATTCTTATAGTAAAATCATTTCCAATGCATTCTTATAGTAAAATAATTGCCAATTTATCCTTATAGTAAAATCATTTCCAATGCATTCTTATAGTAAAATCATTTCCGCATTCTTATAGTAAAATCATTTCCAGTGAATTTTATAGTAAAATTATTTTAATCCATTCTTATAATAAAATCATTTCCAATGCATTCTTTTAGTAAAATCATTTTCAATGCATTTTTATAGTAAAATCATTTCCAATGCATTCTTATAGTAAAATAATTGCCAATTTATCCTTATAGTAAAATCATTTCCAATGCATTCTTATAGTAAAATCATTTCCAATGCATTCTTATAGTAAAATCATTTCCAGTGAATTCTTATAGTAAAATTATTTCTAATCCATTCTTATAATAAAATCATTTCCAATGCATTCTTTTAGTAAAATCATTTTCAATGCATTTTTATAGTAAAATCATTTCCAATGCATTCTCATAATAAAATCATTTCCAATGCATTCTTATAGTAAAATCATTTCCAATTCATTCTTATAATAAAATCATTTCAAATGAATTCTTATATTAAAATCATTTTCAAATATTTTCCATCCATTTCAAAACTCGAGTATCACAAAAGGTGGAGGTCTCTAGTTAAACATTAAAAACCAGGAACATTTGCTTATAAAGAAAGTGAAAAATATCATAATGCTGCGTAATGTCAGTCTTCCTATATGGCAATGAAAGATGGCCATTTTCCTCACAAAGTTTAATAAAACTATTTTTTCGTACGCCATTTAATACTTTCAGCATCTTCAAAATAACAGATCATCAATACACGTTTGTTTCACTTAAGTACTTTCAATGTCGTACATGATTTCAAGCGGTCTATTTTGATATACATGGGGCCGGCTCGTCTGTCAGAGCTACGTGGCCGTCCAGAACCTGGTCTACTAGAGCTGCTCTTAAAATGCGTCAGTCCTTTCACACCTGAAAGCCTAGCTAGAGCCACGCGTGCACGTAATTCTAGTTCATTTGTCTGTATTGATACTCCTGGGGAGGTATTTGCTCTGACGTCGAGCAGTCTGACAGATCTATGCGGCCATCGAGAAACTGGTCTATTAGAGCCTCTCTTAAAATGCGCCGGCCATTGTGCTCCTGAAAGCCTAGCTGGAGGCACGTGTGAACGAGGTCATATTGCATGTAAACGATTCGTAAGAGTCTGTGTTGATACTCCTGTGGAGGTATTTGCTCTGACGTCGAGCAGTTCATTAGAGCTATGTTGCCGCCTAGAATGTGGTCTTCCGGAGCTGTTCTTAAATTTTGTCGATCTTTGTACACCTGGAAGTTAGATAAAAGGCACACGTGCACATAATCCTAGCGCATTTAAACGATTCCTAATTGTCTGTGCTGTTACTCCTGAGGCGTTGTTTGCTCTGACATCGAGCAGTCTGACAGAGCTATGCGACCATCTAGAACCTAGTTTACCAGAGCTGCTCTTAAAATGTGTCGACCACCGGAAAGCCTAGCTGGAGGTAGGTGTGCACTTAGGACTAGTTGATGTAGGTGATTCCTAATTTTCTTTGGGCGATATTTACTCTGGCGTTTAGCAGTCTATCAGAGCTACGTAGTCTTCCAGAACCTAGCCTACGAGCATACGAATGTCCATTTGATGAATTTTGCCTACACTAAACGTCCAGCAGGAGCAGTAATGTCTCAAAATGGCCATCAAACCTCGAGACAGCTCACAGTTCGACCCCTCTAAAACGGTTCTAATTAGTAAAAGGGGCATATATGCGGCCCCATGGCAGTCAGTTTCAAGGATTATGTTGGGGTTTGAACAGATTTGTGCTGTGAAAGGCAAAACAAAGAGCCACTCAATGTAGAGGATTACTGACCGGGATGTGTGATATGAATTTCACAAGCGAAGTTAAAACTATGAAGATACCTAATGATTGTGCGATGATTTGAAGAGGTTAAGAGTTTATTGTTCAAGGAAGCAGTCGAGGACGATAGTCTTTGCGTGGGAAAAGTTGCCTCCTTAGAAAAGAATACAGAAGGAATGATTCAACTCCGTGGACGTAGCATAATGGGCATGAGATGCAAAAGTCTGAAGAGTTAGAACTTTTCCCGGCAGGATAGATAGATAGATAGATAGATAGATAGATAGATAGATATGAATTGTCTGGGATATATAGAGAGAAAATGATAAAATCTGAGATAGATAGACAGATAGATAGATAAATAGGAAGAAAAAAAGAAATTGAACAATATGAGATAGCTAGCTAGATAGATAGATATGAATAGACTGTGACAGACAGATAGATAGATAGATAGATAGATAGATAGATATGAACAGACTGAGATGGAATAAACAGAATGAGATAGATAGATAGAAAGAAAGAAATTGAACAATATGAGATAGCTAGATAGATAGATAGGTAGATATGAACAGATTGTGACAGACAGATAGATAGGTAGATAGATAGATAGATATGAACAGACTGAGATGGAATAAACAGAATGAGATAGATATGAACACACTGAGACAGACAGACAGAGAGACAGAAAGTTAGATACATAGATAATGAACAGAATGAGATAGATAGATAGATAGATAGATAGATATGAACAGAGAAAAATCGATAGATAGATATGAACAGAATGAGACAGACAGACAGACAGACAGATAGATAGATAGATAGATAGATATTAGCAAACTGAGATAGCTTGGAGTAATGTAAAGGAAAAGAAAGGAAGAAAAAGAAAGAAAGAAAGAAAGAAAAGAGAAGAAAAAAACAATGAAATAAAAAAAGGAAGAAAAAGGAAAGAAACAAAGAATGGAGGGAATGATAAAAGAAAAATAAGGATAAAAAATTGATAAAAAGAACAAATGAAGGAAGTTACGAATGGACAGAGACAAAAAAGAAAAAAAGAAAATAAAGAGACTAAGGACAAAAGGAATATTGAGAATAGCGAAGTAAAAAATGAAAAAGGAAAGGAAAAATTGAAAAGCAAAAATGAAAGAAAATAGAATGAGAAGAAAGAAAAAGAAGACATTAAAAGAGGGTGAATGCAATAAAGAAAAAAATATTAATGAGAGAAAGAGAAAAGAAGAAAAGTAAAGAAGGAATGAAAATAAAGAAAAAGAAGACAAAGCAAAGAATAGAGGGAAAAATTAATAAAGAAAAGAGAAAGAAAGAAAAAATAGAAAAGAAGAAGAGAAAGAACGATAATAAAGAAATAATTAAACGAAAGAAAGATAATAAATACATAGAAAAAGCAAAGAAAATTGTAAAGGAAACAAGAAAGAAAGAAAGAACGAGAAATAAAGAAAGAAATAAAGGAAAAAGAAAGAAATTGGAAAAGTAATGAAGACAAGAAGAAAACCTAAGAAATTATAAAGTAAAAGAAAGAAAGAAGAGAAGAGAAAAAGAGAAATGAATAACTGAAAGAAACGAAGAAATGAAAGTAAAAACAAGAAAAGTAAAAGAAAAGAAAAGGTAAGAAAAAAGGGATAACGAAGCAAAGGTGAAAGGAAAGAAAACAGAAATAATAAAAAAGGAAAGAAAAGAGAAAGGAAAATGAAAGAAAATGAAAAAGGAAAGAAAAAGAAAGGAACAGGAAAAAAGAAAAAAAGAGAAAGGAACAGGAAAGAAAATGAAAAAGGAAAGAAAAAGTAAGAGAAAGGAAAAAGGAAAGAAAAAAGAGAGAAAAAAAGAAAAGAAAATGAAAATGGAAAGAAAAGGAAAAAAAAAGGAAAAAAACGGAAAGAAAAAGTAAGGAAAAGGAAAAGAAGGAAAAAGGAAAGAAAAAAGAGAGAAAAGGAAAGAATGAAAAAGGAAAGAAAAAGTAAGGAAAAGGAAAAAAGGAAAGAAGAAAGAAAAAGAAAGGAAAAGATAAGAAAATGAAAAATGAAAGAAAAAGAAAGGAACATGAAATAGGAAAGAAAAGAGAAAGGAAAAGGAAAGAAAATGAAAAAGGAAAGAAAAAGTAAGGGAAAGGAAAAAAGAAAGAAAAAAGAGAGAAACAAATGAAAAGGAAAGAAAATGAAAAAGGAAAGAAAAAAAAGGAACAGGAAAAAGGAAAGAAAAGAGAAAGGAACAGGAAAAAAGAAAGAAAAAAGAAAGGAAAAGGAAAAAAGGGAAAGAAAAAGTAGGGAAAAGGAAAAAAAAGGAATAAGGAAAGAAAAATGAAAGGAAAAGATAAGAAAATGAAAAATGAAAGAAAAGAGAAAGGAAAAGGAAAGAAAATGAAAAAGGAAAGAAAAAGAAAGGAACAGGAAAAAAGAAAGAAAAAAGAAAGGAAAGGGAAAAAAAGGGAAAGAAAAAGTAAGGAAAAGGAAAAGAAGGAAAAAAGAAAGGAAAAAGAGAAAAAGGAAAGAATGAAAAAAGAAAGAAAACGTAAGGAAAAGGAAAAAAGGAAAAAGGAAAGAAAAAAGAAAGGAAAAGAAAAGAAAATGAAAAATTAAAGAAAAAGAAAGGAACAGGAAAAAGGAAAGAAAAAGAAAAGGAAAAGGAAAGAAAAATGAAAAAGAAAAAAAAGTAAGGGAAAGGATAAAGGAAAGAAAAAACAGAGAAACAAAGGAAAAGGAAAGAAAATGAAAAAGGAAAGAAAAAGAAAGGAACAGGAAAAAGGAAAGAAAAGAGAAAGGAAAAGGAAAAAAATGAAAAAGGAAAGGAAAAGAAAGGAACAGGAAAAAAGAAAGAAAAAAGAAAGGAAAAAGAAAAAAAGGGAAAGAAAAAGTAGGGAAAAGAAAAAAAATGAAAAAGGAAAGAAAAAAGAGAGAAAAGGAAAGAATAAAAAAGAAAAAAAAAGTAAGGAAAAGGAAAAAGAAAGAAAAGAGAAAGGAAAAGGAAAAAAATGAAAAAGGAAAGAAAAAGAAGGGAACAGGAAAAAGGAAAGAAAAGAGAAAGGAAAAGGAAAAAATGAAAAAGGAAAGGAAAAGAAAGGAACAGGAAAAAAGAAAGAAAAAAGAAAGGAAAGGGAAAAAAAGGGAAAGAAAAAGTAAGGAAAAGGAAAAGAAGGAAAAACGAAAGGAAAAAGAGAAAAAAGGAAAGAATGAAAAAAAAAAAGAAAACGTAAGGAAAAGGAAAAAAAGGAAAAAGGAAAGAAAAAAGAAAGGAAAAGAAAAGAAAATGAAAAATTAAAGAAAAAGAAAGGAACAGGAAAAAGGAAAGAAAAGAGAAAGGAAAAGTGAAGAAAATGAAAAAGGAAAGAAAAAGTAAGGGAAAGGATAAAGGAAAGAAAAAAGAGAGAAACAAAGGAAAAGGAAAGAAAATGAAAAAGGAAAGAAAAAGAAAGGAACAGGAAAAAGGCAAGAAAAGAGAAAGGAAAAGTAAAGAAAATGAAAAAGGAAAGGAAAAGAAAGGAACAGGAAAAAAGAAAGAAAAAAGAAAGGAAAAAGAAAAAAAGGGAAAGAAAAAGTAGGGAAAAGAAAAAAAAGGAAAAAGGAAAGAAAAAAGAGAGAAAAGGAAAGAATAAAAAAGAAAAAAAAAATAAGGAAAAGGAAAAAAAAGAAAAAGGAAAGAAAAAAGAAAGGAAAAGAAAAGAAAATGAAAAAAGAAAGAAAGAAAAAGAAAGGAACAGGAAAAAGGAAAGAAAAGAGAAAGGAAAAGGAAAGAAAATGAAAAAGGAAAGGAAAAGTAAGGGAAAGGATAAAGGAAAGAAAAAACAGAGAAACAAAGGAAAAGGAAAAAAATGAAAAAGGAAAGTAAAAGAAATGAACAGGAAAAAGGAAAGAAAAGAGAAAGGAAAAGTAAAGAAAATGAAAAAGGAAAGGAAAAGAAAGGAACAGGAAAAAAGAAAGAAAAAAGAAAGGAAAAAAAAGGGAAAGGAAAAGTAGAAAAAAGGAAAAAAAAAGGAAAAAGGAAAGAAAAAAGAGAGAAAAGGAAAGAATGAAAAAGGAAAGAAAACGTAAGGAAAAGGAAAAAAAGGAAAGAAAAAAGAAAGGAAAAGAAAAGAAAATGAAAAATGAAAGAAAAAGAAAGGAACAGGATAAAGGAAAGAAAAAAGAGAGAAACAAAGGAAAAGGAAAGAAAATGAAAAAGGAAAGAAAAAGAAAGGAACAAGAAAAAGGAAAGAAAAGAGAAAGGAAAAGTAAAGAAAATGAAAAAGGAAAGGAAAAGAAAGGAACGGGAAAAAAGAAAGAAAAAAGAAAGGAAAAGGAAAAAAAGGGAAAGAAAAAGTAGGGAAAAGGAAAAAAAAGGAAAAAGGAAAGAAAAAAGAGAGAAAAGGAAAGAATGAAAAAGGAAAAAAAGTAAGGAAAAGGAAAAAAAGGAAAAAGGAAAGAAAAAAGAAAGGAAAAGAAAAGAAAATGAAAAATGAAAGAAAAAGAAAGGAACAGGAAAAAGGAAAGAAAAGAGAAAGGAAAAGGAAAGAAAATGAAAAAGGAAAGAAAAAGTAAGGGAAAGGATAAAGGAAAGAAAAAACAGAGAAACAAAGGAAAAGGAAAAACATGAAAAAGGAAAGTAAAAGAAATGAACAGGAAAAAGGAAAGAAAAGAGAAAGGAAAAAAAAGAAAATGAAAAAGGAAAGGAAAAGAAAGGAACAGGAAAAAAAGAAAGAAAAAGAAAAAAAAAAAAAGGGAAAGGAAAAGTAGGAAAAGGAAAAAAAAAAAAAGGAAAAAAGGAACGAAAAAGAGAGAAAAGGAAAGAATGAAAAAGGAAAGAAAACGTAAGGAAAAGGAAAAAAAGGAAAGAAAAAAGAAAGGAAAAGAAAAGAAATGAAAAATGAAAAAAAAAAAGAAAGGAACAGGATAAAGGAAAGAAAAAAGAGAGAAACAAAGAAAAAGGAAAGAAAATGAAAAAGGAAAGAAAAAGAAAGGAACAAGAAAAAGGAAAGAAAAGAGAAAGGAAAAGTAAAGAAAATGAAAAAGGAAAGGAAAAGAAAGGAACGGGAAAAAAGAAAGAAAAAAGAAAGGAAAAGGAAAAAAAGGGAAAGAAAAAGTAGGGAAAAGGAAAAAAAAGGAAAAAGGAAAAAAAAAGAGAAAAGGAAAGAATGAAAAAGGAAAAAGTAAGGAAAAAGGAAAAAGGAAAAAGGAAAAAAAAAAGAAAGGAAAAGAAAAGAAATGAAAAAATGAAAGAAAAAAAAGAAAGGAACAGGAAAAAGGAAAGAAAAGAGAAAGGAAAAGGAAAGAAATGAAAAAAAGGAAAGAAAAAGTAAGGGAAAAGGATAAAGGGAAGAAAAACAGAGAAACAAAGGAAAAGGAAAAATGAAAAAAGGAAAGAAAAAGAAATGAACAGGAAAAAGGAAAGAAAAGAGAAAGGAAAAGTAAAGAAAATGAAAAAGGAAAGAAAAAGTAAGGGAAAGGATAAAGGAAAGAAAAAACAGAGAAACAAAGGAAAAGGAAAAAAATGAAAAAGGAAAGAAAAAGAAATGAACAGGAAAAAGGAAAGAAAAAAGAAAGGAAAAGGAAAAAAGGGAAAGAAAATCAGGGAAAAGGAAAAAAAAGGAAAAAGGAAAGAAAAAAGAGAGAAAAGGAAAGAATGAAAAAGGAAAGAAAACGTAAGGAAAAGGAAAAAAAGGAAAGAAAAAAGAAAGGAAAAGAAAAGAAAATAAAAAATGAAAGAAAAAGAAAGGAACAGGAAAAAGGAAAGAAAAGAGAAAGGAAAAGAAAAGAAAATGAAAAAGGAAAGAAAAAGTAAGGGAAAGGAAAAAGGAAAGAAAAAACAGAGAAAAAAGGAAAAGGAAAGAAAATGAAAAAGTAAAGAAAAAGAAATGTACAGGAAAAAGGAAAAAAAAGAGAAAGGAAAAGTAAAGAAAATGAAAAAGGAAAGGAAAAGAAAGGAACAGGAAAAAGAAAGAAAAAAGAAAGGAAAAGGAAAAAAGGGAAAGAAAAAGTATGGAAAAGGAAAAGAAGGAAAAAGGAAAGAAAAAAGAGAGAAAAGGAAAGAATGAAAAAGGAAAGAAAAAGTAAGGAAAAGGAAAAAAAAGGAAAAAGGAAAGAAAAAAGAAAGGAAAAGAAAAGAAAATGAAAAATGAAAGAAAAAGAAAAAGAAAGGAATATTGAAAAATTGAAGAAAATTGAAGCAAAAGAAAAAAGGGAAGAGAAGAAAAAG